ACTTTGAGGTAAGCCCGTAGATATATCTAATAACTAGAATGTTCATATATGTCGTTTCTACGTTCATAAATGGTCATTTGGTTGAGTTATGTGTTTGACATGTTTGAAGAACCAAGAATCATAAACCTTGAAATTGTTGTTAAAACTTCAAATTAATGGTACCAAAATGATCTATGAACCTTGGAGAACCTTTTTATATACTTTAATTGAAGTTTTGGTAAGTAAAATGACATTTCCGCAAATTGGCTCGAGGTAGAAGACGATGGATAATCGATTATCCACTTGAAAATCGATTATTCATTGTTCTGCAGATTTTTGGAACAAAGCTGAGCAATAATCGACTGTCAGAATTTGATAATCGATTATCAGCCCTCTCAGAAGTTTGATAATCGATTAACAGAGTGTGATAATCGATTATCAGCTCATTCTGAACATCAGACAGTAGATTATCAGAAGTGACAGTAGACTGTCTCCCTACACTATTGAAGAAAATGAAGCTAGTAATTAATAATTGAATTTCTTATCATGTATTAATCAATTATTGTTTAGAAAACATGATTTTGTACAATAAAAATGATGTTTTGACATGTAAAACTGTTGAAACACGGGCTTGTTACGTTTTCGTACTAAAGCCGCGTTCGTTTTTGTAACAGGTTTTGATAATGCCAAACCGCCGTGATTAAGACAAACATTGAGCATACAAGGCGAAGAACGAAGATAAAGAACGAGAGCTAAAAGAGACCAAGAACGAAGACCGAAGTCCTTAGCTTTGTTGAGTCGGTCATAATTGTAATCAAGACCGACCCAACCCTTACGCATTGGCTCTTTAGGCTAAAACCTTTCATTGCATTTCTTAAATCATAAAAATGTTTTTCAAACTTGTTTAAGTCATTAAAAACACTTGGTGTTTGCCCAAACCAAAAACCAAGCCATCCGACGTTCGGGTTTCAGAATCCGGCGTTCGGGTTTCAGAAACCGGCGTTCGGCATTCGGTTTTCGGCGTTGGTTTTTGGCGTCCGAACCAAACAAGTGGTTTTCAACCTTTTATGATTGGTTTTCACTCTTTGGCATGTTTAAACGGTTCTCCAACAAAAACACCTTGAAAACCATCTTTCGCTTTTGGTCGTTTGACAAAAATCATTCAAAACGGCATAAACTTGGCTAGCCGTGGTTTTCACTCAAATGACGTGGTTTTTAAAGTGTCTTACTTGATTTCTTAGCCAAATGCATCAAATAAGTATTTTAAACACTTGGTTTTTATTTTGGAGAACTTTGAATTTTTTGGTCGGTTTTCGCATCGGTTGGCTAGGGCGTGGTTAAGGCAAAAACCATGGGTTCCTGACTAAACCACCCACCCAGCGATGGGAAGATCTTCCCATCGATGGGTAAGCGGCCCCTTAGCCAAACCAATTTCCAGAACCATGCCAAACAGCGATGGGAAGCTCTACCCATCGCTGTTAAAGCCTTGGTGCAATATTAACACAAGGTAGAACGACCTTGCCCGGCGATGGGAAACCTATCCCATCGATGGGAACCCAGCGATGGTAAGGGTAAACCATCGATGGGAAGCCATGACTGTTGTAGGTCATTTAAGGTTGATTCTTTCCTTGTTTGGAAGTCAACCTCCCAACCAGCGATGGGAAGCTTGTACCCATCGATGGGTAGGTGACCGTTGACTTCAAATCTGAAGGAAAATTGGCTTACCAGCGATGGGTAAGTCCTAAACATCGATGGGAAGCCAATATCCTGCAGATCACAACTTTACTCAATCCCATAAATCAAGCCAATCACCCCTTTAATGCATTGGTCTGTTGGAGCCTATTTTGGCACTATAAAAAGGGGTGTTTGGGTCTGCTTTTCTCACGAATTCACTTCACAACATCTATACTTTCATTGCATTCAAATATCATCATTTTCCATAGCTTTCTAGAGCCATTTTGTGTGAAGGTTGAGTTGTTCTTGAGCGTACCTAGTTTACTCATAATCTACTCTATAAGAGAGTCTCGTTCTTGAGTGTACTTGTGTT